CATCGATTTCAAAGCCCATATTTTTTTGTAGATAGTATTCACTAAAAGAAAGCGTTTTGCAAAGTTTTAGGTTGCGGAAACTTACGGTTCATGAGATATATTTTTTTAAACTTTTCATACAAATTGGTAAATAACACGCAATTACAAAATAAATTTGACAAATGATTGATGTTAAATGTCAGTTAGTGTAGAGTTCCGAATATTTTGAAAGTATCGATACCTACTCGATACCAAGTATCGTATAGAAAGTATCAATACTACTTGGTATCGAGTACATTTCGTTAATTTTGGAGACGAAAAATTATGACAAACGAATTAGATGCATAGGAAGAGCTGATAAGTGTAATTATATATATATATATATATATATATATATATATATATATATATATATATATATAAAAGTAGAATAAAGTTTACTCTATTTAAGTTCCACCTTAGTAATTGTATTTCATTGTTTGCAACTTGTTTGTATTTCTTAATTAGTACAGCTTTTGTACTTTTATTTTATTGTTTGCAACTTTCTGTATTATCTAATTCTTACTACAATAAAGTGTTTACTTACTTCGACCTGAACTGCCTCCTGGCGGCTCAGGCCAACTCTAATTAAACTAAATAATTATTGAATTAACTAACACTAATTTGCCTTCGTAGGCACTCCCTCAGCGGCTCTTAGCCGCCTACGCCCTCTTTTCCCAAAAGAGGGTCGCTCATGATAAGGCACAATAGAGCTTAATCAGCCGGTTGCCTGTCCCCAAAGGCGGTTTTTAGAGGGTATCACTTAGGGTCCCCGGTAGGACAGTGAGTCCCTCATAACCTCGATAGCCCGGCTATCGTGGTATGCGTAATGCATTTCCGCCTCCCTACGTATAGGGTAGCCCTTTAATTGCTTCGGGCGCAAAAAAAAAAAAAAACGGAGGGAGAGCAGTTCCCTACGCTAGGGCGGAGGCACTGCTCATCCCGCAGCGCCGGAGCTGCCACGGAGCGCCGGAGCACAACTTCCCGGCTTCTTACCTCCCTAGTCTCCAAAATTAACGAAATGTACTCGATACCAAGTAGTATTGATATTTTTGATACGATACTTGATATCGAGTACGTATCGATACTTTCAAAATATTCGGAACGCTACACTAATTGACGTTTGATATCAATGATTTGTCAAATTCATTTTGTAATTGGTGTAATTGCGTGTTATTTGCCAATTTGTATGAAAAGTTTAAAAAAATATATCTCATGAACCGTAAGTTTCCGCAACCTAAAACTTTGCAAAACGCTTTCTTTTAGTGAGTACTATCTACAAAAAAAAATATGGGCTTTAAAATCGACGGTCCATATTGGAAATATTAACCTTTAATAATTATACCACCTAAAATTCCTGCTATTGGTAAGTCTACAACTTCAACTCTAAGTAACTTGATAGTTGGTCACATACCTGTTAGTTCTTTATATTTGAGGTTATTTTTAATTACAACACCAATTTCAACAAAATTTGCCATGCCATGATAAGCCAAAACGCACTACCTCAGTATGAATAAGTGTTGATAAAATTGACTTTATGTATATTGTATTTTTGAATCATCAGAAACATATCTTTTTAAAGAGTTTAAAACTTATTTATTCATATTTTTGGCCATAGATATTAATAACATAGCTAAGTTATTAATAAATTGTACCATTATACTTATTTCGTGAAATACCACTATTTTGATTAAAAAGAAAGGCTTAAAAATTGAGATACTGCTTTTAGCCTTAATCTGCTCATTTATTTATTTATTTATAAGATACATATATAGCCTACAAGCTAACATAGCATCCAACACACTTGCAACATTAGATACATTAAGTTAAAATTTACAACATTCTATACAAGAAACAAATTATTATATTTCATATCAATACCTTATTATAGTGGACCCCCAGTAATCCGACAAACATTTTGCAGGGCAGTGTCAGACTATAGAATTAGTCAGATTATAGAGTACTATATATAGAGCCTAAGACCTCTATAGTCTGGAATTTTTCACAAAAGAGTACCTTCTATTCAGACAAATTAGAGATCCAATGATAAGATTCTATATTTTATATATATGTACCTACTCTGAAGTACAAATCATACTTCATTATGTATGTCAAATTTAGTAAATTATGACACAATAGAGAGCTTAATTTTAATAAAAAATTAACATAATTAAAACTATAGAACTTACAAAAAATATGCAATTACTTTACATTAGGAAATAATTGTGAATAAACAAATGTACCGTAAAACGGGGTGTATAGAAATTGCGGGGGTGAATAGAAAAAATATCAAGAAAGTTTTCAAGGTTAATATTTGACCATTTTTCATTGAAGGATTTTGGTAGTATTTTAAATTATTACACATCAACATTTTTTTTTGCGTTGGCAACAAGTTTTAAATGTCAAAATTGACATTTATCCTTTAAAATTTACTTCAAAGTCTACCTTCTGTAAACGTGTTTAATTTAACTGCTGCAACTCTTAATTTTAGGTGTTAAAAATTTGTGAATTGTGTTGTTTAATGTGTTTATCTTATTACTTGTGTAATAAATTTTAAAAATTCAGTGAAGGTAAGTGAGAATCCATTATTAAACTTCAAAAATTTGTTAAAATCACAGTACGTGTAAATTTATTGTTTAAAAGGGGTTAATAGAATCTGTTGAAGGGGGAATAGAACAGTAATGTGGGTTTAATGGAAACCTAGTAGGGAATAACAAAAACGCTTAATGTGTGAATAGAAACTAATGAGGGGTAAATAGAGATAAATAAATAGGGTTGTCAAAAACTGTTAACATAACTAAATAACTACCTTCATAGTTTTAGTATTAATAAATAGTAAGTCCATAATATATAGGTAGTATCTTAGAGCTGTGGATTTTAGTGATTGATAAATAAATAATATTTTTAAAGGTATAATTTATAATTATTTTTTTAATTTACAGGTACATACCACCGTAGGTATATTCAACATGCCGCATTTGTACAGACCCGATCCTACAAAGAAAAGGTATAAAAAATATGACACGGATATAATAAAAAAAGCTGTGGAAGAGTATGTAACTTCTCAAAATGTAAAATTAGAAGAAGTTGCTAAAAATATGGCATACACAAATCGGTGTTGTATCATCACAGTACCAGGGATATGAAGCGGCAAGGAGGCCAAAGAGCTTTGTCCGATGAGACTGAAGTGTTCTTAATAGAAAACATAAACAAATGCGCAGAATGGGGTTATCCCCTAGATACTATGGACCTCAGATACATAATAAAAATGTATCTTGATAAGATAGGTATAACCCATAAAAGATTTAAAAATAATTTTCCAGGACCGGATTTTGTGCAGAGCTTCCTTTCCTCTTCGCTCTGACAGCGCGTGACATGTTATACTCCCGTTCACTCGGGACCTTTTTGGCGGGAAAATTTGCAAGTTAGAAAATTTTTTGCTATATTGCAAATTTTGCTATATTTTCACTTTGAGACAATATTTATGGATAAAACTTACAGGAATTCTTGTTGAATGTATAAACTATCGAATAAAATTATTTTTGGTTGCTAGAAATTCTAATAAAATACGTAAATTACCCTGTATAGCATAGTAGTAGTATATACTTCAATTTTAGTGACAAAATTACTACTAATTTGAATTCTACACTTTTGTTTTTGGAGAAATTTATATCAAATTGTTTGGAAATATGTATATTTTTATGTTTTATGTGTTTCCATTCGTTACTCATACCAAAATATTAAAATATTAAAAAATTAAAAAAAAAATAAAATAATATTTTATCTGTATGTTCATTTCAAACAATATTTCTAAAATATGTTTGTGTGAATTTGAAATAAATACAACGTCATGTTATTTGAAATATATACGAAAACTATTTTTACTTACATTTTACACTAAAAATAAATGAGAATTTGAAAAATAACACATTTATAACCCACCTGCCAAAACGGGCTTTCCGGAATTTGAAGTACTTTTGGCAATTTAATTTTCACTTTTTATACCACAAATTACATATCTACGTGTTTACTATATTACAAGGAATATAAAAAAAGTATAATACTTTCGTTTTTAGTCCAGACACAAATATAAAATTCTATAAAAAAGACGGAGCACCTTCATCAAAGTGACACGTGGAACGCCGGAAGTTCAGAGTGATTTTTTTTTTTTTTTCTAATAAACATTGCCAGGTTATGGTTTAAAATAAAAGAGCATATCTTTGTCTTTGATACTAATATCTATTGCATAGTGTCTTTGGTTTTGTTTAAAACGAAAAAATAGTTTTTTCATAGGTACACATGTTTACATAATTCTGATCTAATTCGATCACTATTGGCGGACGTAAGGTTGGTATTGCGCGATCGAAGGTGAGCATGGCTTGGTTAACGGGTTAAGACACAAAAATTAGATTTCTCAAAGAGTTTGTGAAAATATCAAGCGTGTGAGAGGTAAGGTATCTCCAGATACGATTAAAAAATATTTCATCGAACTTGAAAAATCTTTAAGTGGAGTACCTACTTCTAACATTTTAAATTATGACGAGACAAATTTGTCGGATGACCCTGGGCGAAAGAAAATATTGGTCAAGCGGGGGTGCAAGTACCCTAAGCCATACCAAGGCTTCCGTATCTATTATGATGGCTGGTACCGCAGATAGTAAAATGTTACCGCCATATGTAGTATACAAAGCAACCCATTTATATGATTCCTGGGTCCAACGAGGTCCTGACGGTACTCGATATAACAGGTCGACATCTGGATGGTTTGATGGAACCACTTTTGAGGACTGGGTGCAAAATATGGTGGTTCCTTATCTTAAGGATTTACCAGGCAAAAAGTGCTTAATTGGAGACAATCTGTCTTCACATTTATCAGCAGATTTGATCCAAACATATAAAGGGCACAATGTCGATTTCGATTATTCTTACCAGCCAACTCAACTCACCTGATACAACCGCTGGACGTGGCATTTTTTCGTCCAATGAAGCGTGCCTGGAGACAATTATTATTAAAATGGAAAAAGACAGATGGCCGACAATTACCCACGATTCCAAAAGGTTGCTTTCCAAAACTATTAAAATTGTTAATTGATGAGCTTAATATAAATGCTTCAAGGAATATTATTGCTGGATTTAAGAAAACAGGGATTAGCCCTTTAAATGTACATGAAATATTAGCTAGACTTCCCGACGGAGACTTAGATGCAGACAATCAAAGTGTTGTGGAAGATTCTGTAGTAACACTCTTCAAAGAAATGAGATATGGTTCCATGAATATCATTGAGCCTAAAAGAAAGAGAAAACTTAATGTACTCCCAGGTAAAAGTGTCGCTGCAGAAGAAATTGAAGATTATGCAGAAACTGATATTGATTACAGTGTGGAAAATCCTAAAAAAAAACAAAATACAAGTGCTGGTGGCTCATCAGGTTTAAATAATAAGAATAAAGAAAAAGGTAAAAAAAATGAAATGACAGACTTGAAAATAAAAGCAAATGAAGAAACAGTAAATTACCCTGAGAAAATAGAACCTAACAAAGGAAAAGGTAAAGGGATTAGAAAAAAAACTAAGATACCGTATTTGGAAGCAAAAGAAATGTATTTTGTTTTATTTCATTCAAATAAAGATACGAATAAACTGTTAAGTATCTTATTTGATTTATTAAATAGTTCATTATCATTTCGTAAAAATAAAATCATTTAAATTACAAGTATATTCATGTTTATAAATATAAATTTATTAAATCACAAAATTTGAAATTAATTAAGCATTTACAAGAAAAAAAATTTTTTTTAACACAGAACCTTACATTTTTACATGTTGTATAAAAGTAATATGTGGCAGCCCTGATAGTTTTTCCATTCACCCCTTTTACGCGTTTCTATTGACCCCAGTCGTTGGGTGAATAGAAATGGTAAATATTTTACAAATTTTCTGGAAAACCTATGCTTATAGTTAAAAAACTATTGTTGTAGCTCTTTTTACATGGTACCGGACATTATATAAAATCACCTGAGGTAAAAAAATTAGTTATTAACAACAAATTCTTTGGACAAAGTTGAAAATCATTGCTATTCACCCCGTTTTACGGTACATACTAAAATGATCAAAAATTATGAATCAATCAATTTAAGAGTGTTATCAAGAAGCAATAACGCTTTTTGAGGAAAATTACGATCTTTCAACCATTTTTAGAATCAAATTTTTCAATCAGAATCCAAACAATATCCTATGCGTCGAGCACAATAGTGACATACAAGTTATAACTTGTTCAATCATGCCTTAGCGATGGTTGTCAAAAAAATATTCAATAATAAATAATAGACCATGTTGGATTACAGCGGGTGCCGGATTACCGGGGGTCCACTGTAGTTAGTAATAACACTTTATTTAGTACTTTTTTTAACAACTTTATTAATCGTAGCAGTGAATTACATAAAAGTTAAAGCAATTATTTGCTTTCTATGAAATGAAATAAGTCGTAAGTTAACAGTCCTGGCTAAAATTACATCCTATTATATTATTAATTTGGAGAGATTATAAAATAAAAAAAAAATTGTTTCAGATATTCCTGCTGGTGTAGTTTATATAGTTGTTGATGGAAGTTTCTCTATTTAAAAAAAATTACATCTATAATGTAAGATGTAATGAGTTCATTATCGAAACGAGTTCTGTATATATTTATTTTATCTTCAAGGAAACCATACATAATTTTAGTCTAATACATAACACATATTAATCTTACATTTAACAATAAAGTTTCCACAGCTAAGTAAATCATCGACAACAAGTGAACATCATCACATACTTAGATGATTAACGTGGTAGAGCCATGCTGCAGCTTTATTAATTGTATAGTTGTAGCACGAATGGGTCGGCTCGACCGGGGAAGGACCACGCTCTCACAGAATATCAGCGTGAAATAGCAGCTTAATGCTGCTGTGTTTCGTATGGTGAGTGTAGGAAACCGGAGACCCTTTTTACTGGAAAAGAGGCATTCCATCTTAATCTATTCTATCTATATTCTATCCTCAATTACAAATCAAAAGGCAGATGCGTTGTCACCAGTAAGTACTTAGATAGAATGACTCGTTTCCAGTATAAATGGTCTCTTGTTCTCTACACTCACCATACGAAACACAGCAGCATTAAGCTGCTATTTTACGATAGTATTCTGTGAGAGCGTGGTCCTTACCCAGTCGAGCCAACCAATTCATGCTAATGTAACATATAATAATTGGGTTTAGTTTAATTACAAACGTTACTAAATTAAACGAATATTTTTAATATCAAATGCATTTATTCTCTTAAAGGAGTACACCCCAAATCCATATCTGAATCAGTTTCTGAATCGCTAGAACAATCTTGTAAATTTATTATAAACATTTTTTTCGCAAATATTATCAAATCGGACGTCCCACTTCCAATCTTCTTCCATTAGTTTTCTGCATTTGGTTACCACCTTCCAGTCTTCTGCAGATACATTGTCGACCGCACTTTTTAATAACTGCAACATTTTATTTGCCGTGAAAGGCGGTGTTGTGTTGTATCTGGCAGCGTAACCTTAAAAGAAAACATATTTTTAATAAGATTAATTAAACAGTAGTTAATAATTAAAGTACCTATCTAACTGAAATTCAAGCAAACAAACCTTTGACTTGGGCCCAGATAAGCTCGATCGGATTATACTGGCACTATACTGGCACTGGTACGGGAGTAGTCTTATGACGGTATGACCCTTTTCGTGGGCTATATCATCTAAGACATACGTCGGAGTACTAGGTTTGTGCAGACCAACGAGTCTTAATAATTCTTCCTTTCCTTGAAGCCATGCAATGATTTCTAATTTTTTGTTTGCCGAAGTTGGTGGTTTGTGCTTTTAGACCCAGTGATATGGGGCGTTATCCATAATAATGCAATGTGGCTTCCTTAAATTATCTAATAATTTTAAAAACCACTCCTTAAATTTTTCAAAATTCATTTCCTCGTGGTATTCAGTAGTTTTAGTTGATTTGAATGCCAATAGGCAATTAGGCACAAAACCAGATGACGTCCCAGCATGAGTGATGATTAATCTTTGACCTTTGCCTTCGGGTACTTTGGTGGTTGATTGTGCAGTATCATCGGTCCAACCTTTGGGTAGGTAGGTAGATAGGTAGGTAGGCATAAGGTATGATTGGCGTTTAGCCATGTCTCGTCTAGAAACACTACTTTGTTCCAATTTGTGATTTTTTTGACTTTTCGGAGAAAATTCACTCGAGCAAGAGCAATGTCGGTTCTTTCCATAATAATTTTTTTGTCACTTTTTTATAGGAAAAACCAACATTTTTCAATATCTTCGTTAGAGATGGCAAGCTTCCTTTGAACAAGTCCGCGTCTTTGAGGGACGTGGCAAGTTTTTTCAATGTAGGCAATACGCCCAGTGTGTAGTAACCATATACATGGTTGCGAATCGCAGCGGAGTCAAAGTTGTCAATGTTTGTGACAGGAGCAACCTTTTTCCTTTTTTTATTTGGTGTTGCAAGTTTTTTGTCCTCGTCTTCAGTCTATGCTGCGGTTGAAGATTCGCCATACTTTTCTTTGCTTATACGAATTACTGTCGCATGTCCAATGCCAAGAGCATCTGCAACTCTATCACATACGTTCTTCATGGGTAATAGCGGCCCGCCATTATGGTTCTCTCGTTCAAAATATTCTCTTAAGCGAATCACAAACTCACGACTTTGACTGTTCAAAACGGTTTTCTTCGTTCTCTTTGGCATTATGCCAACAAGAAACTAACAATAATAACAAAAGATAACAAAACTCAACAAATTAACAAATAATAACAGCAATAGTAACAAAAACAAAGTAATGAGAACGGAAAACACGTAGCGTATACAAGGCGTCGGCACTCGTACTGAAGAGAGTGGAGGTTCATATCAAACAAGATGGCAACACTAATTAGGTCGGCATGCCCATAAAGTATGACATTGACAGGTACTGTCTGTACTACTAAGAAATTCAGGACTTCATAGGCGTGATTTTAGTGACAGCTGTCGCAGAGATCAAGCTATCTTTTATTAACCATAATCGTTCACATTTTTTTATATATTTTTTTTTGTAATTTTCTAATATTTTCCGAAATTTTACCTCTTTACATTTATTTTATTTATTTATTGATTTTGGTCCCAGATGCATCCTTGATATATCGAAGCCATTGTTCATCCAAAATAATGAATAAATAAGTAGTTATGGGCTCTCAAAGTTAAGAAAATAAAATCTTTACCCCTACATTATTTTTTGGTATATGTTTTTGATTGAAAGAGGAATGCCCACTCTTCATAGACATTTCGGCCATGGGTGCCCACATATAAAAGCATATAGATATGATAATATACAATTAAAGGAATGAAATGGTTAAGAAATTGGTTTAAAAAAAGTCGGGAATTTTAAGATATAAAAGTTTTTATTTTCACAAATACAGTTTTTTAACAACTAATTTTACCGATGTTATCGCATTTAATTTCTTTGATTTTTAATTCCCGACTTTCGGGTGCTTTCCAGCACACATGGTCATGGGGGATTGAGGTGACTGGTGTACCGAAATCAGTGTTAACTTGGAGTAACTTCAGCTTTTTAATAACTATTTATGGTCCGATCTACGCAGAATGAACTTACTGTCCTGAAGTCTTGCATGGTATGCTTGGGTTTAGTTTTAATTTTATTAATTACAGTGTCCCAAGCAGGTGGAAATACCCAGCTTCATTCTCTATTGAAATTAGAATGTTTGAATATGGGTGCAATACATTACCGACTTCAGATTGCAACGAGGATGAATTAGATGATTCAGATGGTTCCCGTTCTGCAGTTGAATGTGATGCTGCTCTATCAAACCTTCGCCAACAATTATGACACACACGAGATGACGATGGCAACTGAAATAATATTAAATAAAAAAGTGAAAAAGTGAACTAAATAAAAATAAAATAGATTTGTTTCCTTTAAACTCAAATACATATAAAATATTTACTACTTAAATGGTAGTTACTGATTCTACATTCTGGAGGTACATAGTAATTGTATTCACAAAAAGACATACCCGCAATGTTGATGGAACTGTGAGTTGATTGGAATAGTTACAACCAGGAAAAAACATTGATTTTGTGTGAGTGGTGGTCTTACAAAATTAGGCAGCAGTATATTGTACGATGTATGATCTAAGCTTTGTTGTTCTAGGTTCAATATATTACTCACTTTAGGTTGCAACGAGGACGGACTAGATGATTCAGATGGTTCCCGTTCTAAAGTTTAACGTGATGCTGCTTTATCAGTCCTTTGCCAGCAATCATGACACGCGATGTCGATGGCAACTGAAATAATATTAAATAAAAAAAATAAGACAAAGTGAACAAAATAAAATAGATTTGTTTACTTTAAACTCAAATATAGGTAAATGTTACTTAAAACTTAATGCCCTATATTTTTAATAATTAAGGACTGACTGCCTACCAGTAGTACAAAAACAATTAAAAATCGACTTTCTCATTTCTTGGTATTTGATAAAAATTGTCCATTTTGTAACTATCTGGTGTTAGCTAGCTAATCTTATCGCCATGTTATAAATAAGCTATTATGTTTGTCAGATATAGCTTGTGCATATGTTAAAAAATAAAACAACTTCATCATTTCATTCATTCATCACTATCAAATATCAGCACTAG